AAAAAAAAAACAGGAAACAGATAAAAGCCATGCAAAGTCGGTAAATTTAAAGGTAAGGTTATAATGAATAAGAAAGCTTTGGAAGAAACATAATTGTTTATTATTTGTTAACAGACTCAGGAACAACAGAAAGCACGTATATTTAAAGCTCAACCGCTCCCAAGTGATTCTCCGGATGTAGGTATCAATAAATATGATTTATTCGAAACAACACAGTTTTAATGTATTTGCGCACAGCCTTTACCTCCAGCTCGTACTATACCCACAACAAAGTCAAAACCATTTAAATTGGAAACTGATGCACGAGGAGAGAAATATCAACAACAATTGCACCAGGAACTTACCAAGATGAAACGACGCGATAAGGAGAATCATATATTTCATGCAAAACCAGCACCTAAATTCCCAACAACACAAGTCAAAAAGCCGAGTAAGCCACCCACAGTACCTGTTAGTTTTGTTTTCCAAACCGATACACGCATGAAGGAACGTAAAGCCTATGATCAGCAAAGAAAACTGCGGGATCAAATGGAGAATATACTTAGGGAAAAGAAACGTGATGTACGGCACATGTGATGGGGGGGTATTCAGTGTACTAGCATATTATGGTATATAGATAAATTTATGTGTAGTCCTATATAAACGTCAAATAGACAAATTTTTTGTGTATCAATCACGATGATCTATAATAAAATGCTTATGATTTTTAAAAATAAAATATAGTCATCCACCTCTATATTTCGACCAGCAATGTTTATTAAAAAATCGAGACCTCTGTTATTTCACATCCCATGATCTGCAGAGATAAAAAAAAATAAAATCCAGCAATTAGAATCCCAGTTATTATATTTACAAAAATTACACCTTTTTGTTAAAGCGGTTCATTTTTCATTTCAATTCACTGACAGTACGATTCACCGACAATCAATTCATCGACAGTACGATTCACTGACAATCAATTCACCGACAGTATGATTTACCGACAATCAATTCACCGACAGTACGGTTCACCGACAGGTTCATTTCATCGTCAGTACGATTCACCGACACCGACAAAGTAATTCTGGTCATTGCCGTTAGGGTCAGGTTAGGTAATTTATAAAAAAAACTTGTCGGTGAATCGTACTGTCGGTGAATCGTATTGTCGGTGAAATAAACTTGTCGGTGAATCTTAGATTGCCGAAATTATTATTAAAGGCATTGATATATTATATCGATTCTTTTTATTAGTGCTAATTAAACACTATATGCTAAGCAAAACATAGTCAATTCTTTGACTTAATTTTAGCAACTTGATACGTATTACAATTATGCGATTTTTGACCTATCGATTGCGTATTAATAAGAGCTAAAGAGACATATATTACTGCCAAAATGACTAGTCATATACATGCTCTTAATTGCATATCATATATTACTGTATATATGTATGATTTCACTTGATGGTGCCACATATAATTAAAGAAACTTGTATACATAAATAATTAGAAGAATGTGCGCACATAATTATCGAGTGAAATTTTTTTTAATTTTATCAAAATCAATCATGGAAGATTTTTGGTTATAAAATTTGATATCCTGAAATATTTTTACCATTTTCATTACCTTAAAATATTTTCATCATTCTAAAAACATTTTAAAATTATAAAATATTTCAGCAATCTAAATTCTTTTCATGTACTAAATTATTTACGATTTAGGCAGCTAATAATAATTTCACCCATTTGGATTACGTTAATAGATTATTTTAAATAAAATCAATTATCAAGTCGTGAAAATTAGAATTTTACATTAATTAAAACTTCATACGTACGTACGTACGTACGTCTGTATCATATTTTCGCATAATAACGCATATGTGTGTCATTTTTTAAAATCGTACTACGTACCGTACCTATAAACAACACGCGCGTTCGAAATGTAAATCAGCTAATCACACATATTTCTTTAACTATGCTGCCCTGTTGCTACAAAGCATGTATTTATAACTTTTTTTTTTTTAATTTAGTAAATTTTTAAATAAAAATTTTTTAACTGACCAAATTTGATAAAGCTTATTTTATTTTTTTAATTTTCTTAAAAACTTACTAACAAATTCAATAAAAATATAATACAAAAATTACTAGAAATATTCACTCAAAATTTTAAAAGAAAATTCTAAAATTCTAAAAAAAAACTTCCTGGCCAACCATACCTTTGGTAGATTTCA